ACAGAGAGAGAGACAGCTAGAGAGGGAACACAAGCAGGGGGAGTGGGAGAGGGAGAAGCAGGCTCCTGGCCGAGCAGGGAGCCCGATGCGGAGCTCGATCCCAGGACCCTGGGATCATGACCTGAGCCGAAGGCAGACGCCCAATGACTGAGCCACCCAGGCGCCCCGAAAACTAGTTTTTTAGAAGTGGTAGAGTTGGATGGTGAAAACTTTTGAGTCAGTTTTATCATGTATTTTTCTAGGAATTCTGCCGTCTTAACTAACCCTCCGAGACTTAAGTCTGACTGAAAGAAAGATCTTAATGTATAAAGTTAAATTTATGAAGTTGATTATAGATATTAAGTTGATATGCAGTGAATTTGTGTTTACCCACCTTTTGTATAGTTAGACTGAAGTTTATTTTAGAACCAAAGGAAAAACTAATAACAGTGAAATTAAATATTTATGAGAAGTGATAGCTCTTTGGTACATTTAATTAATTTTTTTCTTCTTGTTTTAAATAAAGGTGGACCCCCAGAAGTACAAGGGCATATTTAATGGATTCTCAGTTACACTTAAAGAGGATGGTGTTCGTGGTTTGGCTAAAGGATGGGCTCCGACTTTCATTGGCTACTCTATGCAAGGGCTCTGCAAGTTTGGCTTTTATGAAGTTTTCAAAGTCTTGTATAGCAACATGCTTGGGGAGGTATGTAATTTTAACTTTTAAGACCAAAAAGGATCTTTTTTTGGTCTGTATTACTATACTGTCCTGCTTTCCAAGTAAGTTGGATTTTGAGTTTTTTAAAGAGAGATCTGGGATTCCTCTGTGTAGTTCCACGGCTAACTATACGTGGCACCTAGATGTTGAAAAAAATAATTCACATTGTACTGTGGTTGATAAGGTTATGGAAGAGAATATACATTCAGTCTCATGTGTGTTATTTGTGGACCATATAAAGAAACACTGTTAGGTTGTCTGAAATGTAACTGTTTCCTAGAACTGTTCCTTAATTGAAATTGAAAACAGCCAATGCAATAGCGGTACATGTTCCTTCTTAACGTTTTTCAATTAGGAGAACACCTATCTCTGGCGCACATCACTATATTTGGCTGCTTCTGCCAGTGCTGAATTCTTCGCTGACATTGCCCTGGCTCCTATGGAAGCTGCTAAGGTTCGAATTCAAACCCAACCAGGTTATGCCAACACTTTGAGGGATGCAGCTCCCAAAATGTATAAGGAAGAAGGCTTAAAAGCGTAAGTGAACATTTGTCTAGAGTTACAGTATAAAAATAACTCAATTAAATGAACTCCATTTGTTAGCATTAAACCTACCAGACTTTTTTTTAAGCTCTTATGTTAATGTCTATTTACCTTTTACATAGAACATAAACTCCAGGGGCAGGGATAAGTTGATGCATGGCTTAAGCCCTGAATTAAAGATGTTTTTCTAAAGTAAGAACGTTTATCAATCTGCATATGCCTTGATATTTGACATTAATTGTTAACTTTTGGGAAGGGCTTGTTAGAATTCTTGTCATCTGTGTTCACAGCTAAGAATTTGCATATAGTCTGGCTACAACATGCTTCCTTAGATCCACCTTTGTGGATGCCAATCTTGAACTGAGTTCTACTTGTAAACTTCTTGTTTCTTGTAGTTCCAGCTAGAGAAACATCCAGCAACTTTTTTGGTTGTATAGTCAAAGGTGCTTGAGTCATTGGCATGTGAGATAAATACACCTGCATGTTAGTCTTAGGTTCTGATAGAAATGACGTGCAATTGTGCTGCCATATTTTGCTATCAGAACTCGACTGGTGTGCGGACACTTCTGTTACTGATGAAAATCTCTGCTAAAGGAATAAATACAACTGAGTAAAATAAGTCTCCTGGTTTCCCTAGATTCTACAAGGGAGTTGCTCCTCTCTGGATGAGACAGATACCCTACACCATGATGAAATTTGCCTGCTTTGAACGTACTGTTGAAGCATTGTACAAGTTTGTGGTTCCTAAGCCCCGAAGTGAATGTTCAAAGGCAGAGCAGCTGGTTGTAACATTTGTGGCAGGTTACATAGGTATGAGTTACTTACAACATGTTTATGAAATTAAGGACCAGTAATTATTTCCATTATTGGCCTCTTTTTGTGAGAAAAAAAAAATATTCCAAAGAAGCTTTATCTTCCCTTAGCATTTTCTGTGCCATTTTAGGATTCATAAATACTTATTGATGAGTTTCTGAAAGAATTACTTTCAGGTGTGCATGTCTTGATTAAGTTTGGGGAATATATTGATTTCACTGCTGTGCCATTTTTTTGGTCTAGTTTTTCAAGAATACATTTTTACACAAAGGAAAGTTGATTAAAATGTGAATATAAAAACTTGAAGGATTGTTCTGTTTTACATAGGGTAGAGTGCTGTATAACTTTGTTAGTCTCTAAATCTGATTTTTTAAGAACGAAAAATTAGGTAAAGACTGTTGGTTGTGATGTGAATTTTTTTAAATTAATCCCATGTTGGATTATTTATCTTGACTTTTTTCAGCTGGAGTCTTCTGTGCAGTTGTTTCTCACCCTGCTGATTCCGTGGTATCTGTGTTGAATAAGGAGAAAGGTAGCAGTGCTTCTCAAGTTCTTCAGAGACTTGGATTTAAAGGTAGGATTCTCCCCCCCGACACACACCCCCAAACAAACAAAGAGTAACACTTGGGTATTATTTCATTTTTCATTCATGTTTCATATTTCAACCAGGTGTATGGAAAGGACTCTTTGCCCGTATCATCATGATTGGCACTCTGACTGCACTACAGTGGTTCATCTATGACTCTGTGAAGGTCTACTTCAGGCTCCCTCGCCCTCCTCCACCTGAAATGCCAGAGTCTCTGAAGAAGAAGCTTGGGTTAACTCAGTAGAATGATCAAAGCAAATGTGGACTTAATCTGCTTGTTGATCAGTATTGAGGAAAGTGCAAGAGGAACTTTTATATATTTGACAGTGTAGGAAATTGTCTATTCCTGGTATAATTACTGTAGTCTCTTGCCTAAGGCAAGGGTTTCAAACCCACTGTTGAAATAAACCTAATTATTCATGATTTGTCTGTGATTCGGTATTTTTTTTTTTTTAAAGATTTTATTTATTTATTTGACAGAGACACAGCGAAAGAAGGAACACAAGCAGGGGGAGTGGGAGAGGGAGAAGCAGGCTTCCCATGAGCAGGGAGCCCGATGTGGGGCTCGATCTCAGGACCCTGGATCATGACCTGAGCCGAAGGCAGACGCTTAACGACTGAGCCACCCAGGCGCCCCCTGTGGTTATTTTTAAAAGCAGTTTTTAAAGATGTAACCCTAAAATGGAAGGAATTAAGTGTAAGTTAAAACCTCAAGGAAAAAAGCAAACTAATTGTTGGTTCAGTACTCTGATCCCCACTGACAAATTGTCATGTTTCAAGTTTTGTCACACAAGAGTTCCTATGCTCCTAAAAATAAAGGAAATACACCCAAATTTTCAAAAACTTGATTTAGCTGTAGTTAAATTGAAATATGGATAAGTATTTGTGGTTATATTTTGACAAGTAAATTTCAGCATATAATCAAATTTTTGCAACATGTACTATACTTCTAAAAATCCTAATGAGTTTGCTAATCCTCATTTGTAAAAGAAGATCTAGGGGTGTCTGGCTGGCTCAGTTGGAGGAATCTGCAACTCTTGATCTCAGGGTTATCTGTTGGAGCCCTATGTTGGGTGTAGAGATTACTTAAATTTCAAAAATTAAATTGAAAAAAGTAATCTAAATTAGGCTGATTGTTAGAATGGTAGTTCTAACATTCTAATGATAGCTATTTTATTTATTTAAAGATTTTTTTTTAAGTAATCTACAACTAATGGGGCACTTGAATTTAACCCCAAGATCAAGAGTCACATACTCTACTGACTGAGCCAGCCAGGTGCCCCTAGAATGATAGTTTTTAAAAGAACCAAAGCACTTGATAGCTAAAACCACTTAAGGTTAACAATTATCTTCAAACAAATCTGACTTTATAAATTACAAAAAATGTAGCATAAAATCACCTAGAAAGTAAGCTACTGTTGAGTTTTCTCTTACGTTTGGGTAAGAAATATGAAAGCCGAATCGAATACAATTATTTTTCAAATCTGATCACATTTTACCTTGAGGTCTTCAAGTATCTGGATTGGTTGGCAGTCCCTGTATAAAGTATATAGATGGGGCCTTAAGGAAAAAAATTTTGGAGGAGTCTTAAGGGAGAGAAATGAAACAAACCCATGTTGTAAGGCTGGTGAACTAAATTGAGGAATCATATTTAGTTGCATGTTAACTTCTATCATCATTTGTTCTTAAGATTACAAACTTAGGTGTATTGCAGAGAGAAAGGAAGGGTTGTGGGTGCAATTAGTCCACACTTAAAAAGGTATGAGCCCACATAAGTGATGGCTGTGGTAACTGGCATCACCAGTTTGCATTAGCATTGCTGTGTAACAAATCAACAGATCTAATGGCTTGAGACATAATCTCAGGTCAGGAATTCAGGAGCATCTCTGCTGGATCTTGGCTCTGGGTCTCATGAAGTTACAGTCAGATAGCTCTGAGCTCCTTTTTAAGGCTTTAACACTGGGCACCTGGCTGGCTCAGTTGCTAGAGCATGCAACACTTGATAGGGTTGTGAATTCAAGGCCCACATTGGATATAGAGCTTGCTTTAAAAAAAAGGCTTTCACTCCTCTGGGCTAGAGAGAAACTAAGCATCTCCCTGTTAGTGGCTCAGTCTTGGCATCTACAGCACGGTGGCTTCAGGGCAGTTCGATTTATTTCAGGGCTTTGAGGCAGAGCCAGGCAAGCTGAATCCTTTTTAGGACATAGATGTGGAAGTCATAGCATCACTTCCACTATACTCTGTCACAACATCAGAAGTCTCAGAAGACTCAATCCCAGCTTGAGGTAAAATGAACAGATAATCCTGCTGGGAGGAGCGTCAGTCATGTGAGAAGAACGTGTAGGAATGATAATACATGTATATTGAGCCAATCCAAAGGTGGACTGGATTTGAAAACCATGATACACAGTTCAGCCAGCTTTCACTATAAGATTTCCACTGCCAACTTTGGATGCGAGTTTTATTTTCAAGAAAGATGATAGGTTTTATTTGTGGATATTGATAAGTATACTGTGTTCATTGTCAAAAGTCGCTTGCTATCTAGAGGTAATTTCAAAGCTATTTCTGAGAGAAAACCATTTCAGACTAGAAATTCAAGGAAAATACCCACTTAAAATTATAAAATTTTACATTTTAAAATTTATTCATACTAAAAGATTCTAAAGTTGTTTTAATAACACTTTTTTTCACATTTGGTTGAAGATAATGTCAATTCCATAAAGCAGAACCCAGTGGAATGAGTATATGTGATTAGTAGTTTAATTGAATTATGTTGTAACAGTAAGACGTGATAGAAGTGCAATAGTAGTTTCCAGGAGAGCCAAATATTCAAATTGTCTTTAAGAACAATTAAAACTCTGAGAAAGCCTGAGTTTTACTAAATTATAAATACCTTATGACATACACAACAAAATTGGACAGAAGAACTAACAGCTGTATGAAAGCTTGAAAAGTTTTGACAATGTTTTAAAATGAGTTTAACATTTTTGTGATACCGTTTTTGGGATAGATGATAGAAAAATGCCCACAATGTTCATGAAGCTTGGTACATAGTCTTGCTGCTAAATTAGGAGCTACACGCTGTTTCTTTAGCATAAGAAATTATACAGTTGACTGTTGAACAACTTGGGGTGGGGGGTGGCAGTTAGGGGTGCCGATTCCTCCCCTCCCCCACACAACCAAATATAAATGTACAACTTTGACTCCCTGAAAACTAGTACCCTGACAGGATGTCTTACTGATAACAGTCGATTAACACATATTTTGTATGTTATATGTATTATATGCTGTATTCTCACAATAAAGTAAGCTAGAGAAAATTATTAAAAACATAAGGAAGAGAAAATACATTTACAGTACTACACTGTCTCGAAGACAGTTTGTGTATAAGTGGACCTGCACAGTTCAAATATGTTGTTCAAGGGTCAACTATAATCACATTGTTTATACAATTTTTATCATTTATGAGATAAATCACAAAATAATTGTTAATCTCAGATACCACATGGTTAAGAAACAAACTGATCTAAAACTTCAAGGAAACTGTGGGTCATAGTTGAATGCTGTGCTGCTCCTGATCTATCAAAGAATGATGTGGTACCTTAATAAGTCAGCTACTCCTAGCAATTCTTAACCTCCGATATTATCTATTGAATCCTTTATCTTACAAGGCAGCCCCGACTTCACATTCTCAGAAGTGTTCATAGGAGTGTGTGTGATGTTAACCTCAGCATTGATACGGTTTATGAATCTTTTGGTTATTAAAATATGATGAGTTTCCTAGAAAAAAACTAAAGTTTGCATGTGTGCCATGCATGCAACAGTCACTTAAAGGTTAGCTATACTGAATGAAAGTCTAGGGGATATGTCTCCTACACAAGGTATAATTCCCACCTAATACTGTGATTCAATGTGCAAGTCAGCTAGCTTGCTTTGTGGAATGCAGCATATGCAAGAGAGGAAGATGAAGGATAATTCATTCAAGGAGCAGTTTCCATTATTTCAAGCCATGATCTCCACACAGAGGGCTATATGAATCAAGATTAAAACTACTTCTAAGAAATCATTAACATCTGAACATTTGATGTGCCCAATGTTATTACTTGTGGATAAACACTGATTCTATTGACTGTACAGTGGTTAGACTTTATTTTTTAAAAGATTGTATTTACTTGTGAGAGAAAGCACAAGCAGGGGGAGTGGGAGAGGGAGAAGCAGGCTCCCCGCTAAGCAGAGAGCCCGTTGTGGGGCTCCATCCCAGGACCCTGGGATCATGATCTGAGCCAAAGGCAGATGCTTAACTGACTGAGCCACCCAGGCACCCCCAGTGCTTAGTCTTTAAATGATATTAAAGCAGGGAAATTCCACAGAAAGCTTAAGATGACTTACCCATAAGAAACCATGCCTATTCCTGCTCAGCGGGGAGTCTGCTTCTCCCATCTGACCCTCCCCCCTCTCATGTGCTCTCTCTCAAATAAAATCTTTAAAAAATTAAAAAAAAAAAGAAACCATGCCTATTATTGAAGTGGTTATATCTTCTGTTAGGAAACAGAACAAAGCTTTCCATTCTCCTGTATTTGCCACAAAAGCTATCTGACCCGAAGACAAGAACATGACTGTAAGCCTAGTGACATTCCAGATTGATTTCAAGCCTCCTTCAAGAAAGTCCTGCTCAGTCTGGCTCCCAAATTACAGATTGGTGAGTCATTATTTCAATAATAATAGAACTAGCACCAAATAAGTGCTTCATTTATTTGGCACTGATAGGATAGAAACATTACTCATAAATGAATTTTCAGATAGCTGAATTTATATTTTGAAGTGCTGAAAAATTTCTTTTTAAATATTTTTCATGTCTAAAATACTGTCTTATTAAAAAGATTACATGGAATATAATTTACATTTAATTTGACATCATTATGAACATCAGATACCGTATTAGGATGTGCTATGGTGATACTTCCCCTGTGGGGTATAGAGCTATTTACAAAAACACAGTCCCATACTATGTAACTTTTGTTATACTAGTTAATGGCTTTGTCCTTTATGTGCAAAGACACTTTGGATATGTTAATGGTAATATTCACAGCAGTCCTTGTAAGGCAGATATTATTGTCCTTACTTACAGATGAAGAAATTAAAGTTCATATGCACTAAATTTTCTGAGGCCACAGAAATCTGTGGTGACAGAGCCAGGATTAGATCCGATATCTCTGATTTCAAAATCTCATGTTGTTTCTACTATATTAAATCAGACATGAATCAAATAGAGCTAGTCACTTCAAAGTGTTCTGGAATGGCTCATCCCGGAGCCTTGGGCTTTTTGTCTTGGAAGTTAGCTACATACTCTGACTCATTCTATGCATCTGGATACCCTTCATGCTAGGCATAGGAAACTGGGACTAATGCTGCGTGGTTTTTTT